CAATGCGAGGTCGAAACTGCAGTCTACCCAGGATGAGAACAACTTTTGGGAAAGCAAGGCTATGTGAAATAGAAAAAGTCAGCTAAACTCATATCATTGTGGGAAAATTCTACTACCAGTCCTTCATCACCTTACACGAAATAATTCAATGGTAACGTCAGCTCAACTCATATCATTGTGGGAAAATTCTACTACCAGTCCTTCATCACCTTACACGAAATAGCGTCAGCTAAACTCATATCATTGTGGGAAAATTCTACTACCAGTCCTTCATCACCTTACACGAAATAGGGGATCAGCTCAACTCATATCATTGTGGGAAAATTCTACTACCAGTCCTTCATCACCTTACACGAAATAGGGGCCAGCTCAACTCATATCATTGTGGGAAAATTCTACTACCAGTCCTTCATCACCTTACACGAAATAGGGTGAAAACTCATATCATTGTGGGAAAATTCTACTACCAGTCCTTCATCACCTTACACGAAATAGGGTGAATACATACTCATATGATTGTGGGAAAATTCTACTACCAGTCCTTCATCACCTTACACGAAATAGGGTGAATACATCCTCATCACACTGATTTACTGGTAGTCTCGAAACCCTACTTTAATACGAATATAAGTAACGTTGTCGATTACTATAGAAAACATATCGACATCTGGTTGCTCCAAATGACTGGAAAGCTGTTTGTCAGAAATATACAGATTTGGTAAGCGAGACAGTGTCATTCCAAGTTTTACTGAAGTTGGACGTATGCATGCAGAGAAGTTTCATTTTAGTCTCATTGAAACTCGCGTGTGCTACTTATTAATTCTAGTGAGTAGTGCTAATGGGCCGGTTTTTCTAGTGGCCTCTAAAAATGTATTTAACTGTCAATATTAATGTTTGAGCTATCAACCCAGTGAATAACCACCCTTATGAACTTTATACATTAAACTTCGATTAATAAACTTTTTTCTGTCTTACTATTGAAGCAAGCACATATAGTCCTATCGTCATCATCGGCCATACTCCAGAGTAGATAGTCGATTTGACGAGCTGGTTTTAGCGATTTCATTATTCATACCATTTTTTAATGGGACCCATTCATAGCCTGAAAGAGAACTGCCAGATTCCTTGAACGACTAATGCTTTTTCCTACCCGTATGCTGATCCTCAAGTTCTGGTTGATAAAGACATTTTGTAGAGGGTTTCTTTCCTTTCCCTCATGCCTGCAGCTGTCAGCTTAGCCTCGTTGTATGCTCAGCAAGCACCAGCATGATTATATTTTGCTAAGTAAATCTTTACTCAAGGTATCTGGCTGGTTGTTGGTTCGAAGTTCTCTTGCTTATTGCATGCATGGTTGTTGCTACTTCCCAAAGTTGTATTGCAGCAATGGTTTTGTCAAAGCAACCCCTTTGACATCGGGCTGGTCTAAGTGTGTACATGCGCTCATGGACATGTGCGACCAGCCCTGGATGATATGAGGGAAAGTGCCCTCCCGCCAGGTTGCTATGGCGTCTAGTAACGTTCCGGCAACTCGGTATCTGACATAAATAGCCTTGACTTGAAGGGAAAACGGAGGCTCGAACCAGTTGACGATGGGACTACAACCTCTGCCATTTGAGCTTTAAGGATGATTTTCACATAAAGAGCTAATGCACCACGGCTTCAGGCGCTCTTTCGCCTGCCCCCACAATAACATGTAGGCCTAGATCCAGGCCTGAGAAGGCACGAATACATGTACTCTTTCTCTATCTCTCTCTCGCACACACACACACACGCAGGAGGGAATAGCAATATAGAAAAATAGACGTGCAACGACGATGTGGTCAAGTTGTCACTTTTCAAGGGCGATCAGGGGCCTCAACTGTGGCAGTGTTACCTGCTCAACCTTTGGTACCAGGTCGGCTGTGACAATGACACTGACAAGAGGAGTGTGACAATAGGCGGTTTGATCGAAACGCTTGACCAAGCCCTGACCTACAGCATTTTGAGCCAGATCACAGAGGAAAGAGGGGACCTGAACTGGGGCCAGCAAACGCGATGGCGACAACTAAATGACAATTGATGACATTGACGCCCCTGCCTGACAGGTTAAGGCTGAGTCACGAGGTCAGAGTGGGCTGAGCCCTCGAGATGCCCCAGAACGGTGCTGAATCTGTAGGCAGTTTATGGTCGTCGGGATACAATTCATCAATACGCCATGGTTGGCGATGATCGTAACACAGAGGTTACGAGGGCGTTACCAGCGGCCTTCATCAGCCACAGCGAACAGCTGTTTTTGCATTCGGTATGTTATACCGTGAGTACTGGCGAGAACAGAAGTTCACATCCTCCTTGAAATTCAATCACAGGAGACTTGCTTGCCTCTGGATACATGAGGTTCGTAAATATGCAGAATAACTGGTCGT